AAAATATTGGAGTAGAAACTTCATCAGAGCAGATACACAGATGTCAAATAAGCACAAGAAAAAAATGTTCAGTGTCATTAGCCATTAGGGAAATGCAAATTAAAACCACGAGATACTACTATACTTCTACTGCAATGTCTAAAATTTTAACTGAGTATACCAAGTGTTGACAAAGATCAGAGAAACCAAATCAGTCAACTTTGCTGATGGGAATGTTAACACGGTGCAGCTGTTCTAGAAGATAATTTTGCAGTTTTCTCTAAAACTAAAAATGCACTTACCACATGACCCAGCAATTGTACTTTTAGGCATTTGTCTCAGAGAAATGAAAACCTATGTTCATGCAAAAACTTACACCTCAATGTACATAGCAGCTTTATTCATAATAGCCCAAACTGGGAACAACCCAAATGTCCTTCAATGAATGAAGAGCAAACTATGCTACATCCATGCAATGGAACACTACTCAGCAATTAAAGAGGTACAGATTATTAATACATGGTCAAGGGACTATGCTGAATGAAAAAAATCCAGCCTCAACAAGGTTACATATTCTATGAGTCTATTTATAAGCATTCTTGAAATAAAATTATAGAGAAGGAGAACGGGTTAGTTGTTGCCAGGGATTAGGGATGGTGGGGATAGGAGTAGGTGCAGCTCTAAAGGGGTAGAAGATGGCAGCTTTGTGGTGATAGAACAATCCTGTATTTTTATTTTATTGATAGTTATACAAAGCTACATGTGTGCTAAAATTGCACAGGGCTATGTGCGCACGCACGCACACACACACACACACATGAGTGTGTATCACTGGTGAAATCTGAATTAGCTCCATGGACTGTACCAGGATATAGTTTCTTAGTTTGATAGTGTACTATACTTATACAAAATGTCAGCATGGAGAGAGGAGGAGGAAAAATGGCACAGGATCTCCCTAATTACTTCTTTACAACTTTCTGTAAATCTAAGTATTTCAAAATAAAAAAAAATTTTTTTAATCTATCTATATAGTATTTTATGATCCCTTCATTAAATAATAAATCTAGTCTCTGAGGTTTTTTAAATGCTAGTTTATATTACATCAGTATGCCTTGGTAATAAGGTTATAGAGCCTTCCTAAAAACATAATGACCTAACATAATTTTAAGTGCATTTAACTAAGCTAATAGGACTAAGAACAACAGAAAAATCTTATCAAGGCAAATAAATTGATTGTCTCAGATCAATAATATTAACTAAACTTGCGTCAGCTAGCAAATTATATAACACTTATTTTAAAAGCTAAAAACATGTTTTGGCTACAAATTTTGACAACATTACACACATTTTAAATAACAAATACTTTTTTTTTTTAAATACCAGCTTTTATTTTTGATCTCCATGGATATAGCCTTATGGTGTGAGTTGATTCTGCATGGTATAGTTCTTCATTTGAAAAGCTGACATAAAACGAAGTTCGAAACATTTTTGTAAGAAGCAAAATAAACTACTAATTCCTCTAACTCAATTGTTTTCATTTTTCCATTTTATCTTCTATACCTCCACATGCTCATCCATTTTTCCATACTTATAATCACAATATAAATGCCAATAACTATTCTAAAATATAGTGTTATTGGCTGAAATGTGTCTCCCAAATTCATATGTTAAAGATCTAACTCCCCAGTACCTCAGAATATAACTGTATTTGGAATTTGAGTTCTTAAAGAAATAATTAAATTTAAGTTGGTGGCTCTAATCCAGTTTGACTGGTGTCCTTATAAGAAGAGGAAATTTGGAAACAGACACACAAAGAAGGAAGACAGTGCGAAGACACAAGGAGAAGACCGCATCTGTAAGCCAAGGAGAGAGGCCCGGAACCGATCTATGTCTCATGACTCTCAAAAGAAACCAACCCAGCTGATGCCTTAATCTCAGACTTCTAGCCTACAGAACTGTGAGAAAGTCAATCTCTACTTTGTGATGGCAGCCCCAGCAAACTAATGTAGTAACCCCATATACACTGCACACATTATTCAGACACTTTAGAAGATTTGCACATTAAAATTAATTTACATTTAAAATCAAATTCTAAAACAGGAGCAAAGTTTCTAGGAAAAGGCATTGTTTAATATTTTCTTGCTGACAAAATATGCTGAATATTAAATAGCAGACACAAATGAAGTATTTCCTACTCTTTACTAATGAGTGATTATCACTTTATATAACAATATTTTTAAGTTTACTTGTTCATAGATTAGTTTTTCCTCAAACCAAAATATAGCTATTTTAGTGGAAGAAATTTTAGAAAAAAAGTAGTATTTTTACCAAGACAGAATACTTAGCAAGTTTAGAATCAATTTGCTTCCACTCTCAAAATAACTATTGAACTGAATAACTCTTAAACTTTTAAAATTCAAGTTCTGAATTAGGCTTGGAAATGTAGTCCACGTTTTTCATAAAATTGATGAAATTAGGGCTAGAATAGGTCTATTTGCTTATCCTGTTAAAAATGTTTCCTTCTTTTAGATGTGTGTTTATTGCCTTACCGAGTCTGACATTAAATAATTTGGGGCTCAAAATACTTGCCTCTGAAATGAAGGGTGAGGTAAGACAAACACATATTTAGGACTGTCAACTAGTCGTATAGTGGAAACCTCATTTAGTAGGTATTTATTGAGCTTCTGTTAATTCGAGGATGTTGTGGTAGAAATTATTGGACTAAAAAATGAATGAGATATTACCTTTGGCCTAAGATAACAGACCAGTAGTAGATCACATGTATGCATGTGATCAGTGCCATAGAAATGGTGTAACTGATGTGAGTTTCAGATTGAGTCAGAGGCAGAGGTAGCATAAGAGCTGTGGTAGGTCTAATGTATGAGGCTAGGAGGACCTTCCTCATGGGGTCATGCAAAGACAGGGAAAGTGTAAGATAGGTCCAATTTCCGAAATAGATTGATCATAATTTCAGAACCCCAAACTGAGACACATGACTGACAATTAGGAAGTTGTATTAATGACAAATGAAGGACTGAATGTTTGACATTAGGATTGCCATAGCTACAGGGGATGTATAGTTTGCCAAGGGTAAATTAATTGACCCCTGTTGAATTTACTCTCCTAATTCCATGTTAGAAACATTGTACCTCCTGTTAGTTTTGAAATCTTGCTGTACTTTTTTCCATGTATTAGAATATATTTCACAAATGAATTTGTATTGCAGATTCTTATTCTTTTAATGTTAGGTAGAAAGTCACATTGACATGAGTAGTTATTTTAGAGACAGATAGTAGTGTGCACTAACAGTCAGCCTGCAAACCCAAGCAGTATCCTTCTGGCAGACGATAAATAGGTGACAGCATGTGCATGCTCCTCTGCAGTGTCACTCTGACTCAATCACAGACAGATACGGTTAGGTACAGTACAGTTTATTCAGCCATGAGAAGCCATCTTTCTGGCTACAAAAATACCCTGGAGTTTTTAGATCTGAAGAAAAATTGCAACCTCCTTATTTTCTTTAACTACAGTCTTCTAAAAATTCTATGTACTACTGTGCTAGTAGTTTTCATCACACAAATGGGAACACATCCATAAGTTTTTAGAAGCATATAGCTATACCTAGGGGAAAAATTTCCATATAAAGGAATCATTGGTATATAGAAGACCCACTTATTTGGTCCCTGCCAGTTTATTTCTCTAGGTTTTCCGTTTTGAGTAGAAATTAAAGATGAAGAAGATGCCAGACCCCTTGTGTTCATGCCCTAGATCTACCTTAAATGCCACTTCTTCTTCCAGGCAGACTTTCTTCCCACAGAAAGATGTCTTGCCTTTCTCTTCTTGGACCACATTCCTTATCCTACTCATCCGTCTTCTTAAGGCATGCTCTCTTCTCAGTGCTCTGTTCAGCATATTGTGTTACTTCTGTAACCATTTACTGGCCATATTGCCTCTGCAGCTATGTGCCGTGTCTGCCCCATGGCTGTCTACTTCTGGTCTTCACTGGCCCATGTGGTTGCTATTTCTGCTGTGGTGGCTTCAAGACCAATAAACCAAGCAGACCTTCTTTGATACCTAATCACATGCTAAACCCATCACATGATCCAGGATAACTAAGCAAGGAAGGGAATGCCAAGTGAACTCTCTGGAAAAGCAGACTGTCCAGATTTTCGTGTAGATCACAGCTTCATTGATTCAGTTAATTGTGGTTGTACAAATTTTATAGTATTTTTATTATTATTTCGTGTGCGTTTGTGTACTTTAATGGCTTAAGACTGCAGTGCTAAAAAGACTGATGAAGGGAGAGCTTGATAATTACCATTCTGAGGATAATACGTTCCATGCATTTCTCACAAAATTATATGAAATTAGCACATTTAAATCTACATAATGCTGTGAAGGCATATTTTTATTAAACTTAATCTAAGCAGACAGAATAATGAGAAGTGATTGCTATCATGAAATTCTTGTCTCATTTTGAGGGGACAGAGTGTTATTAGTCTCATTAAGGTATATTAACTAATACTTTCTGCCCATAAAATTATTGATTTTAGACACTGTATCCTTTTATTTCTCTCCACCCCTCCCACCTTTCTTCATAATTCGTATAGAATGTATCCTGGTTATCTTCTAGAAATGCCTCCCAACCAGCTCATGCTAGCATATTTAAATTTGCTTTTCTGAATCATGTTGCCAAGAAAACAATTTAATTTCAATAAAACCCAGAATATTACACAGGTATTGTGTTATTCATTCATGTGAGTATTTAAAAAGCAGACAGGATTGCCATTTAATACAATTTAAGGGTTTCATGCCTCATTTAGCAATACAATCCTTTTTCTCATTTCTTTTTCAGAATAACTACTCAATTAAAATTTAATCTTTTGGTTAGGTAGCACTATACTTAGAAAAGTCATCTTGACTTTTAACTATTAATTTTCTAAAAGAAAATAGTCATTTTCTTGGAGAGCCATTTTATGATTCAGTGTTACCTATTGGTAAACTTTGAATTTTCTTTACAGAAATAAAGATACTAAATAAAAGTTTGACAGTGTCCCAGAGAAATAATGTATGCCTTGAAGAGGAAATGAAAAATCTGAAATTGTTGTCAGATGCAGCCATATTGAGGTCTCAGCAGATTCAGACATCCAAACAACAGGAAGTAAACTTGCAAACCAGATGCCATGACTTGCAAAAAGAAGTACTAGGTAAAAGAGTTATTTTTTGCCATTTTTAGCTGATAGCCAAAGTAAAGAAATGTCTAAATTTTTATTTTTCTTATAATTCTAACAAAATCTTGTTTTAATCAGTTTGTGTTGAAAATATGCCTAATTATTAGTAATGATGCCAATAACAGTTTCTGTGATAAATGTTTGTTATCATCCATGCCTATTCTGCCATTTAGAGTGGCAAGACTTAAGTGGAAATATACTAAACACATTTCAAGTACAAAATGGTATTTCAGGAAAACAGTGGAATTTACTTTCCTATATCATTATCCTCAGTAGATGGTGGTTTAGAATATCGAGGTGAAATACAGAATGTGCTGTTATATAAGGTGATTCCAAATTTTTAGGCATTCCTTCCTTTTTCCAGATGAAAAGATTAAAAAATATGTTTTGGGAACCTTGGGCAAAGATTTTAAAAGTTTACCTTAAAGCAATGATGATCTTGGAAGTAAGGCTATGGTATGGCGTTTATACTTTTTCCTAAAGGCAGTAAGGAATCATTGAAAACTGAAAATCAGGAGAATGATATAACACAAGCAGTGTTTTAGCAAAATTAAGCTGTTAGCAATGTATGGAGGTGTTCTGAACGTCAAAGAATTGAAGTCAGTTAGCCAATCAGAAAACATCTTTGCTAGTAACCCAGTCCCTAGATTAGCCATAAGAACCTGAAGTAGGGAAGGGAACTGACATTTTTAAGGTCCTAATGTGTATTAGACACCATGTTAGCACTGTATATAAATTACTCCAGTTAATTCTCACAGTGACCGTGGAAAACAGGTATAATTATCCCATCTTAGAGGAGAGAATCAAGGCACAGAAAGGTAACATGCCTGTTCCCACATAGCTGGTCAATGGCAGAGAATGAAAGCAAACCTAGTTGAACTCCGAGGCTTATGCTCATCCCACTGTATCTCTGTGGCCCTCTCCATGGCCACAGTGGAAAGGCTCAAATAGAATCAAGGTTGAAAAGACTTCCAGGACCGGAGGTGAATACCTAGCTGCGTAGACAAGCAAGAGAAGGAAGTCACAGGGGGCTCTTAACCTCTTTGCTTGAGGGTCTTTAATGGAGGGATCACATCACAGATTAGGGAAATCTGGAGAGAAACTAGTTATGGAAGAGAATATAAGTGGTCATATGAATTTGGAAGCATTATGAAACCAAATGTAAATTTGAAAATCAGATATTTTAATTTTTTCTTTTGTGAATTACCTATTCATAGATTTTGCCAATTTTCTATTGCATTACTAGAATTTTCCTTAATAAATTTTAAGAGCAGTTTGTATAGTATTTATTAATCTTCTATATTCAGTGTATTTCTAATGTGTAATTTGTCTGTTGATTTTTTTACAGTAAATCGTACCATATCAAAGTTTTTCATTTTGGTATGATCAAATTACTACCTATTATAATTTCTAGTTAGTCTTGGTTAAAACAGTCTGTTCCATTTCTAGGTTATACATATGGTCTCATGTTTTCTTTCATTTGTGTCATTAATATGTATGGAATTTTTCATATGACATGAGATTTGGGCATCCAGCTTTATTCTTTCCAAGTGCATAGCCAGTTGCATCAGTATTACATGTTAAATTATCCATCCTTTTCCCACTAAATAAAGTTACTATCTATCATATGTCAAAATTTCATATATATATCAGCATCTATTATTATGTTCTCTTTTTTGTTCCACTAATTTATTAGATGTAGCATTAATATCATATTCATTTGACTTAATAGCATATTCTCATAGCTGATAAGTCTCTTCCTCTGTCCTTACTTTTTAAATATGTATTTGGTGGCAGTTATTTTTTGATTTGAACTTTAAGATCCTTTATTTACCTCTAATTCAAAGACTCTGATAGAGATCCAGTAAAGATTTTCTCTTCAAATCTGTATACTTTTCTTTCATATTTATTCACAGGCAGTTATTCTTCTACATAAACTTTTAGATAATTTCATTCAATTCTAATCCCAGCAGGGATTCTACTTGAGATTGCACTAATTTTTTTAATACTAATTTTTAGAGACTTGACAGTTTTAGTGATATTAAGTCTTCTTAATATTATAAAAGTTTATCTTATAATATTTATACTAATTTTTAGAGACTTAGTTTTAGTGATTTTAAGTCTTAATATTATAAAAGTTTTCTCAATCAAGAATATGGTATGTCTTTTCATTTCTTTGAATGTTTTATGTTCTTTAATATGATTTTATAGTTTTATTTGACTATGTTTTTTTGCCATTCTTTTAAAATTTATGACTATCATTTTTGAATCAACTGTGAATGAACTATTTTCTCTATCTCAGTGTCTTGGTATTAATAGAAGAAAGAAAGGCTATTGATTTTTCTGTTTGTCTTATATCCATTAAATTTGCAAAATTCTCATTTTAATTCTAGTAGTTTTTTATTAATGTGTCTTAGGTTTTCTAGTTATACAATTATATCACTAGCCCCAACATCCCTCCAAAGGAGTTTATCTATTCTTTTCCAGTGTTTATATCTTTTATTTTTATTTTCTTATCTTGTTGATATCTTATTAAATCCATTTGAACTGTTAAAACTGTGTTAAACACTGATGGTGACAGTGATCATCCATGTCTACTTCCTGATTTTAATTGAAATCATTTGGCGTTTTGCCACTTGGAATTATATCTGATGTTTGGTTTTTGGTAAATATTGTTTATTTTTAATCAAATATTTTCCTTCTATTCCAACTTTACTTAGATATTTTATTAGAAATGCTTTTGTATTTTGTTAAATGCCTTTTCAGCATCTATTGATATAATAGCTTGTTTTTTCTCCTTTAACCAACTGGTAAAATGGATTAGTATTACTAAATTTCCTGATATTGAAGCATCTTTGTTTTTGTGGAGTAAATCCTACATAACTTACTTTTTATATATCATTTTCTACATGGTTATATTTTATTTATCAGTTCAGTACCTATATTTATAAACGAGAATGGCCTATAATTTTTATTTATTAGAGGGCACCAATTCTTTCAGAATTTTGTGTTAAAATTAAGTGACGTTAATAAATGAATTGGTTTAATAACATTTGATTATCAGTTTTTTTAAAGTTACGTAAAACTTGATTATGAGCCCAGTGATCATTAAGATTCAATTATGAACTCATCTGATTCTGAAGCCTCTTTCAGTGGTAGTTATGTAATATTTCCAGAGTTTTCTGTAGTAATTTAGCTATTTAAATCTTCAGTTCTTCTCAGTTCAGCTTTGATTATTTATATTTTGACAAGAAATCATTCTTTTTATCTAGATTTCAGATTTGTACTCATAATATGGCATGTAATACTCTTATTTTTAAAATATCTGCTCTGTCTGTGGTTATACCTCATTTCTGATTTTGAACATTGTCTATTTTTATTTATCTCTTATTATTTATCAGACACCCAAAGAACTAGCTTTTGAATGCTTTCTACTACTTTTATTTTCCATGACATTACTTTTCACTTCTATGTTTATTACTCTTTTCTTCCTGGCTTCTGTTTTGTTTTTATTCTTATTTTTCAGACTTCTGAAGGGACTTCTAAATTACGTTATTCCTCATCTTTTTGGTTTAATAATAGAGGCATTTCAAAGTATAAAATTTTTTTACATAAACTTTGTGTCTCATAGTTTTTAATATGAATTATTTTCTTTTTCAATGCTATCTGAATACTCTGTAATTTCTCATTTTTTCCGTAAGTCGAAAGGTTATCTAGGAATATATTTCTTAATTTCTAAGTACTTAATTTCTTTGGAAGAGAGTTACTTTTTTATTTTTTTTTTAACTTCAGGATGTTCTGATTAAATAATGTAACATAACCTCTTTGAATTTTTTAAGCTTTTCTTTATGTTGAGTGCATGATCAAGTTTTGTAAATGTTCCTTATAAGTTCAAAATAAAACATATTTCTCAACTTGATGGATGTAATGGTAACTTAGCTAGGGGTAGGATACTTGAGTTCTTTTTTCTCAGTAGATTGTATATGCTAATGGTTTGACTTCTAGCTTTCAGTGTTGCAAATGAGAAGTCTGCTGCTGCTCTGATTCTTTTTCCTTTAAAGATAACTCATTCATTTATCTGGAAGCTTGTTAAGTTTCTCTACCTCTTGTTTTTTCTTTTTTTTTTTTTTCCCTATAGGACCTCAGGAACATTCAGTTGAATCACTCATAATCCTTGGTTCATGACATATTATATACTGGCCAGGACTACATATAGTGTTGAATAGAATAGGGTTGGTGGGCATCCTTGTCTTATTCACAATTTTACAAAAATATGAAGCTAAATAACTTTGAGATTTAAGCAGAAATTATGATGAATGTAAAATAAAATATCTGGAATTTAGTAATATGGAAAAGCACTAAGTATCAAAAACTTGTGGGATGCAGTCAAAGCGGTGCTTTGCGAGAGATGTAAAGCTTTAAATACGTAAGAACAAACTCAGAGAACATAGAAGAAAAAATACAGTAAAAATAAGAGCAGCAGTCAGTGAAATAGAGAACAAAGATACAGTAAAGAAGATCAATAAAAGAAAACATTGATCAAAGGAAATAACAAAATAGTCAAACCTCTGGCAAGTTTGATCAGAAGAGAGAAGATACAAATGAAAAATATAAGGAATGAAACAGGAGCAATGACTACAGATAAAGAGTAAAAACTGACTCCAATTTAATCATCAAAGGCATTTATTGAAAGGATATTATTTAGATGTTCAGAATCTCTGAGAAGGTGAAAAGGAGAATGGGGCCTAGAGATGCTTAGAAAACCATGAAGCTAGAACTGCCATAAGAATCACTGGGTGAGGATGCAGCTGTTGTGTTCTTAAAACACCGGACACTTGGTCCCCTCGCCCCTCCTCTGGTCCTGCACCAGCTGATCTCAAGATGAATTCTCTACTGCTTCTGCTGCTTAGTGTCAATTGTACTTATGTCAGATCTTGGGGAAAATATTTAAAAAATTAGCCTGGGAAGAAAGAACC